GGTGAGGGCAGGAGAGGCATTATTACTACACAACTTCCTTTCAGCACTGCTCTCTTCCTACTAGACATTCCTAGCAAGCTAGGAAGTGCTAGCTCTTCTCTCTCTGGGATGCTACAGCATTGTGCCTATGGCTGGGCTCTGGATGACTGTATAACAACAAGCTAAGGAGCAGATACACTAGCTGGCTTGTCACTTCTGCAAATCTCTGAGCTCCCTATTGTCCAGTGGTAATGGAATGAAATTACCTGCACTCACTGCTAGTTACACCTGCCTCTCAACATTTAACATGATGTTACTTTTCACGTTTTTGATGAATTATTTATACCACATCATTGATTTCAGTGACTTGAAAATAATTTAAAAAAAAAAATCAGAAAATCTGAAAATCAAACCTGCTATTTGATTTCTAAATGTGGGAGGTGCTTGGAGGTCTCAGACTTCGCTCCGTACACACGAAGTCACAGATTCCTCCATTGAAATGGCTGTTACAATTATGATCCGAGTATTTCCTTATTGGAAAGTTCTGTGATCATCTGTGAGAACTGATAGGTTTCGGTGGCAGCTGAGATGCTGCTGCACAGGTCAATATCCTCCCTTTCACAATAAGCTCCAGCTTGATGACCCATGCCCATTTGGACAGGTTTTATCTGTATCTTTGTGCCTGAGATTTAAGATGTTGGTAAAGAAGAAGCCTTTAGTTCCCACAGGAAACCATTGGAAAAATGGCTTTGGAGCAATCTTGTGGCTTTGAGCATAGGTAGGTGTTGAAATAAATGCTATGATGAAATTACTAAGGAAAGTGGTTTTATACATACACTTCTGTGTCCATAGGAATTTAGAAGTCACTTATTCCTCTCCTGGCAGGGAGGAATGTCACTAGCCCTGATCTGATGTCACTGACTGTGAAGCTTGTGCAGGTATGCAAATAAGATGCAACAAGCAGCGCATTCACATTACACCAGAAGTGCTGTTGCAGCGGCAGGCATCTGAAACCTCTGCAGAGCAGGGTGAGCAACTGTGAGTGGAAAAAAAAGGGGGGGGGGGGGGGGAACCAAGTAGAAAGGAGGGGAGCTCGCACAGCTCCTGTGTTTGAGCACGGGATGGGTGCTGGGGCAGGCAAACAAGTGGGTTCTTCTCCTATGCGACCGGATGGGTGTGTGTGTGCTGTGGGGGGTTTTGAACATTGGAAGTGAGACTGCCCTGCAGGGGAGGGAGTGGCATGGGGTGGCTCCGGTGGCTGAATCAGAACTAGACTGACAGGGGACCTGGGGAATCTACCGTAGCAGATCCACTGGTTAATTAAAACTATGGACTAGAGGAAATAAAGTGGAATTTTAGTGGATATAGGAGCAACTTATTCGGCATTAAATCAGAGTGAAAAGAATTTGTTACAGATGTGGGAGCTACTGGCCACCAAGGAAAAGAAAAAAAAAAAACCGACATCCCCCCCCCCCGAAAAGAAAAAAAGTGCAAAACAACGTAACCCTTAAAGTATAACAAATAGGAATACATAACATTTTTATGCATGCTAGATTCTCCAAAATTGTCATTAGGGCAAGAAGCAACATTTAAAGAAGGCAAAATGGAATTAAGAGTTAAAAATCAATTAATTGCAGTTTTATCTTTAATTCAACAGAAAAAGCAAACAGGAGGACCTCCCTGAAATAGAAGAAATCCTTAATCAGGTATATGTGGGAGTATGGGCATCTGAAGTTCCAGGTAAGCCAAAAAATGCTTTGCCTGTTAAAGTGGAAATAAAAAGGGGGGCCTGCCCAATTAGAATAAAACAGTATCCCTTAAAATTAGAAGATCAAAGGGAATAAAAAAATTATTGATAAATTTTAAAATATAGATTATTAATTGAATGTAAATTGGAATATAATACTCCTATCTGGCCAGTAAAGAAATATGATGGGAAACGTTGCAGACTGGTTCATGGTCTTAGGGCAATCAACAAAATTGCAGAGGATATTTGTCCAGTAGTAACTAATTCAATGACTTATTAACTAAACTGAATAATAATCAGAAACGGTTTCCCGTCCTGGATTTAAAGGACGCTTTCATTTGCTTACCATTGGCCAAAGAAAGCCGAAGTTATTTGCTTTTGAATGGGAAAATCCTGACACAGGAAGGGAAACTCAATTAACTTGGACAGTATTACCTAATCATGGCAGCCACCTACTCAGATGGGAACTCTGTTACAATATGCGATGATCTGTTAATTGCTACAGAAACAAAGGAAGAATGTATCCAGTGGACAATGGGATTGTTAAATTTTTTTGGACTGAATGGTTATCGGGTATCCAGACAAGGCCCAACTAATTCAAACCTGAGTTTCCTACCTAGGTTATGAAATAACAGGAGGACAGAGAGAACCTGGAACTGCTAGAAAAGAAGCCATTCACCAGACTCCAAGACCATCGACCGTCAAGGAGCTCCAGACGTTCCTGGGAATGACTGGATGATGCAAACTTTGGATGCATGATTATGGTGTTCTGGTAAGACCCCTATATGAACTGTTAAAAGAAACCCCTCTCTCTTTGGAATAGATTGATCCATCAGAGGAGGGCTTTAGAAATTAAAAACTAGGGCTAATGAGAGCTGTAGCTCTGACTTCTGGATATGACTAAATCCTTTTGGCTATATTCCTATGAAGAACAGGGAATAGCTTTGGTGGTCCTTACTCAGAAATTAGGACCCTATAAGAGGGAAGTGGTGCATTTTTCAAAGCAGCTGGATGAAGCAAGCAAAGGATGGCCTGGATGCATAAGGGCTGTGACAGCAGTTGTCATGAATATTGAAGAGGCTCGCAAATTCACCTTGGGACAAAGGATTACTGTGCTAGTGTCCCAAGTGGTATCAGCAGTCCTGGAACAGAAAAAGCCCACTGGTTATCTCCTTCATGTTTTTTTAAATACCAGGCCACCCTTGTGCAACATGATAATACAGAAACTAGTCACTAATGTTGTCAATCAACAGAAATATTAACACCTGACTGCTTGGCCACTATGTGAAACTGTATATTCAAGCCAACCAGATTTGAAAGAAACTTGTGGAACGTGCCCTGGAATTAGCTAAGGACAAAAGGATAAATATTTGGACTGATTCTAAATATGCATTTGGTGTGGTCCATCCACAGTGTGCCATCTGGAAAGAATGAGGACCTTTTGAACACACGGGAGAAACAGATTAAACATTCTACAGAAATTCTATGACTACTGAAAGCTCTTCAGCTACCTGAGGAAGTAGCTATTATGTATTGTTGAGGGCATCAACAAAGTGAATCTGATCAGGAAATTGGAAATAATTTGGCCAATTTTGAAGGCAAATGAGCAGCTGAACAATCTAAACTCATTCCCTTAATCCCTGATGGCAAACTAACAACTGAGAAATCTAAACCTAGATGTTCAGAGGAGGATAGAAAATTGATTGGAGATCTCAAAGGAGAGGAAAACAAAGATTAGGATTAGATACCTTATGGGCAAATTATAAAACTCATTGAGGTAGCAACTCTTTGTATAAATACTTAGATGAACAAATTGAAGGAAGGGATTTATATAACACAGTTCAGTTAGTGACAGTGTCAGCTCTGCCTCAAGAATAAGCCTAAAATTGAAAGTAGAAATCAAATTGGTACAACTGGGGAGGAAGTTATCTGGGACAGCACTGACAAATAATTTTTCCTGAATTATCGAGACCAATATCTGTTGGTGTTAACGAATACTTTTTCAGGGTGGCCAGAAGCATTCCCTTGTAGAATAAATAACGCACGACAAGTAATTGGAACACTGTTAAATAGTGTAATACCTTGTTCTGGAGTACCAGAGGCAATTTCTTCTGAATGAGGCTCACCCTTTAGTACAAAATAGTTACAAGAAATTAGCAAAAATTAGAAATTATTTGGCAACTACATGTTCCATACAGGCCTCAGGCCAGTGGGCAAGTAGACGACACTTTCTCTTACTAGCCCATGGTCACAGATGTGAAGATTTTGAAGGTGTGTGTTGTATGAATTTAACAGACCACAGACCATTCCAAATCCACCTATGCCAAATTACAAGAGTTACAGGAAAACATGAAGAAACTGGAAGTTGTTGGAGGGTTGGATGATTGGTTGAATGGATTTGGGATTACAGGGTGGACTAAGGAGTTAAACAAGGGATTTGGATTCTGGCTGTAGTTCTTTTAGTTTTAATGACAATTCTTTGCTTAATCCAGTGTGTATCAAATATGTTTCGCAGATCCATTGAAGAGACCTGGGTACCTCTTAAGTAAAAGAATTTACTTATTTTATAGGAAAGGGGGGAATTGAAAACTGATGTGGCCTATTGTGTACAGGGGGGTTGTACGGGGGGTTAGACAAAATGTACAGAGGGGGGTTGTGCAAGGGGGTACTGCTTAAGTTATAGCTTGCTTGACAAGCTTAGCAGATGCCTTATCAGGCAGTACCAGGACAGAACCTCCTAATGAGGAGAATAGCTCATTAAACCAGTTGGACATAGACCACACCCATCCAGCTCCTAAAGAGCATGCGTGAGGACCAGAGGTAAAAAGTTCAAGCCTGAGGAAGACTCGTTTACTTCATCTTGAAGACCCCTACCCACAAGAGGAACACTACTTACTTCATCTGAAGACCCCTGCCCAAGACCAGCAGGAGGCACTGCGAATGTGTGGAGAGCCTTTTAGCTCATTAGAATACGAAGCGGGGATAGAATATGAATATGTATAGGCGTACCGTGCGACCTAATGCATATGTATGACTTTACAGGATAAATGTAAAACGGCACTGAGGCGTGCATGCCTTTTGGAGGACCAATCCCCCGTGCGCCTTCAGCTGAATAAAGCGTACCTACTTTACAACTTTAACCAAGTTGTGAAGTCTATTCCGCTATCACCCATACTCTGCTAAAGTGCAATAATTTCACCTCCATTGCTATTTCAATGAGCCACTTAAAGAACTAAATGCAGTACACCAATACACAAAAGCTTGACAGCCACTACCTTGAAATGTAGGAAGGTGCAACTGCAATGTTCATACCATTCAGCATAAGATGAAAGACTTCTGAAAAATGTTAAAAGACTTCCACATTTTTCACTGCTACAAAAGAAAAATACACTCTTTAACCCAAGCAGTATTACTCCCACATACCATTCTACAGCTTAAAATTTGCACTTCTTCCAGAAATTGTGATCAGTATTGTTCAAATTTGAAGCCAGAGATAGACTCCTCTGTCCTCCCCGCCCCCAAAAACTTAGCACAACAGGAAAGAACACTGTAGTGTAGATACTGAAAATATTGAAGAATTCATTTATAAACCAATATTTTCAGCTCCTCAGAAAGGTAAGCAGTAATCAAGTTAGTCTTTAATGCAAAACGTGATAAAGTGACAAAATAGCCACCTTTAAAATCTTATTTTAACTTTATGCTTGTTCATGTCATACTCTTATTTACCAAATAACTTTCAAGATGCTGCATAGTAAAACTTGAACCTACAACTGGGAAGATTTACCAAATTGCATCAATAAGCTCTGAATATTCCTGAGATCTTTGTCTTATTCAACTAGTCTGTACATGACATGTTATATGCCTCCTCTCACATGACATTCAGCTTTTCAAAATGAACCTTGAAACCAGTAAGCAAGAAGGTCTGTTCATTAGATCATGTGTGACAGCAACTATAAGGACCATATTTACAGATTTTGAGCTCTAATCAAAAGAGGAAAGAGTAATAGCTAGGAGGAGGCTGCTTTGTGACGAGGGGGAAAAGAAGAGTTTGTCTTGGAGGGGTTTCTTCTTAAGAAATACACAAAAAAAAAAAAAATTAGTCTTCAATTTTCTAGTAATAGAAGAATCAGGACAGAGAAAGGAAAGGTGACAACTTATGATGACATAAACTGCTAAATAGCCAATGATCCACTCAATGTTGTCAGGGGAGTGAGGAAAACTGCTGGAAAAGGGTGTGCAGTTTTTGTGAAAGAAACATGGCAAGAATGGAAAGAACAAAAATGCCACAAAAGCTAATTGTCAATACACGAAGCAACATGATTCTTTAATCATAAGGGTGATGAGCTTCATGGCATTGTTGATATAAAGCCACAATCAAAGGAAACAGACTATTAGCCTTTGTCAAAACATACCTGGCAAGCACCAGTTTGAAAATACAAAGATTCATTTCAGTTACTAACACAGGATTTCACAAGCTTACAAAACCTGACTGAAGAATATTTCTGAAATATTAAAGAATATTTCAGAAAGTTACAGAAGATCTAAATTCTACATTTGACTTATAACATCATTTCTGTTCAACATTAACTATTCTTTTTGGATCTTCAGAACAGCTGAGAGGGGAAGCTTGAGGCCATTAACAGAATGGTTGCAACAGTGAATTACCAAGTCACTTCAGCCACTCAAGGCAGAACTGTGCCTTGGATCCAGCAGTATTTAATATACAAGAATGGCAATGCTTAACAAGTTGCACAAACATAAATAGGAAAAAACATATCCAGTTCATTCAGATATTGAAAATGTAAATGAAAAGCCAAACAAGTTTCATCTTAGCCTGGAAAGAACAGCATCATTAGAGGAAGTTACCACAGTAGTCACAGCTGCCAACAAAATCAGGCCAAGATGAAAAAACTGCTGGCAGCACAGGCAAAAATTGAACCCCTGGAAGGATGCAGACACATACTGATTTGCAACAGCTGAGTAGCTTTATGTTCCGTAAAGCTTTTTTTTTTTTAACCATAACTTATAACTATACATATAGAAATCTACACATACTATAATAAAAAAAATCAAGACTTAGTAATGACAGCCCGCATGTCACTGTTTAGCAAACGTGGTTCTATACATACTGAAATATACTTTTAAAATCTACATACCTAGAAGAGGGTAACAATTGTTACAAAACTACATACTTAAAATTCTTTTTTTGAAACTTGGCACGAGTATCCATTTTTATGCAATTTAAAAGACTATCACAAACCTTATGACCTTGTTTTAGCATTATACCTTTAGTTTGGTTTTATTTCTTCTTTCCCTTCAGATTCATCTTTAGGCAATATAGCAGATGAAAATTTTCAAGGTTAGATCACCAAGCAGAAAGACGATTTTGGCTAAGTTCAAAGAACCCCTTCCAGATGTAAAAGTTAGACTTCCAATTATATCTGAGCATATACATCTCTCATGTACAGATACAGTGTTGGCTAAATCCAAGATAGAACACTGGATTCAGTGTTTAGAAAAAAGGAAAACCCGTGCTGGCATGAACAGACATATGCATTAGACATGCTTTTCTGTATCTGCAAGGGAAAGGCTGCATAAGAGCATCACTTCCGTTAAATGACTCACAGCACTTAAAGTGCCCATAAACAATAATTTCTAATTAGACTAAGTTAGCCTAATTCCCAATGCTGAACCCAACCACAACAAACACTAAAATGCTAAGAGAACTTGGTATAAATAAGCAAGGTACTAATAGAGTGCATGTTAAAAATTTAAGCCTCTTTTTTGTTTTAGAAAGAATTTAGCATTACAAAATGTCATCGGATAAAGAAAAAAAAAAAAAATAAATCCACTGGGAGCCAAAAACACCCATCTCCAAAGCTGACATCCATACAACGAAGAAGTAATCCAAAACCAGCAAAAAGTATACTCAGCAGAGAGTAACCCTGTATCAGGTTAAAATCACATGGCCTTTATCCAAACACTATTTCACTTTTACAAAACAGTATCAAAAACACAAAACTATGTAAGAAACTTAACTGTTGTAGAAGTGTTTAAGGCTCCTTTAATATGATCCTTTAGCTATTTAAAGAGAGAAAAATCTATTTTAAACTCACTGCAGTATGCAAGACTTCTTGCACTAACATATAAAACCAAAGAATGACTCTTATAGCTGTGGGAAGAATTCATGTTTCCCCTCATTTCCAAGATGCCTTGCCCATGCAGTGTTTAATATATATTAAATGCAGACCTGTCCTAAATCCTTTACTCTGACTTCTACATTTTAACTAGTTAGTAAAAAGAAGGATATAAGAAATTATCTGAAAACTCCTATTTGACTAGGTAATCCATGCAGCAGTGAACTAACTCTACAATTAACGAGGTATCAAGTGAAAAACAAAAGAAAAAAAATATTTTTTCATAGATATTGCGGTCCTTAACAGTAATAAAGTGTAACATAAGTGAGAACTGGTTCAAAGGGGACACAAGTAAAATCCAAAATAGAAGACTAAATAATGTGATTCCATTTGCATACATATTTTATTGTTAAAACATATTTAAGAAATAATGGTCTCTTTTAAAAATAAGTATTATATATTGCAGCAGTACCTGGTTGAAAATAGCTTGCTGAATTTTGCTTCTTTTAAAAAGATTTTGCTTAAGTATTCTAGCATTCCTCTGTTTTCTTCCAAAGCATGATGGGCTTGGAAATTACAACTGAATGCCAAGTTTTTAACTCTGGTGCTCTTAAAGACCCCTTTTCTGTCATGCATTATGAAAAACGTATTTTAAAAAAAAAATTAGAAAACCAAGGAGAAAAAAATCCAGGCCAGCAGAGGAAACAGAACAGAGCTAGACAATGGATTTGCAAGATTAGGCCAAGGAGGCAAAAGAAAGGAATGAGAGACTGGTAGGAAGGCTGAAGAGAATAAACAATGCAACAAGAATGGAGGGAAAGGGAAGGAAGAAGTAGGAATCAAGATTCTAAGAGCAGCTGATGCACTGAAGAATAAAGAGCAAGTTGGGAAAAGCCTGAAACTGGACATGGAAAATGGAGATTAGGACTTAAAAAAAAAATATAACTAGTTTAACAAGGGTATTGGGAAAACAAGCTATAAAGGAAGATCACACAATCAGATTTAGTCAATCTGACAGTGGGCTGCTTTCAGACATAGTGAACATCAATCCCACTCTGGTTATATACCTACTGCCTTAGATCAGCCACAAACACTGTTTGCAGGACAAGACAAACAAAAAAAAAAATGAATTTGAAGGGGCTGGGGAAGTGCAAGGTGGGCAAGGCTGTCGGATATTTAGAAACGTAGTCAGGGTCAACCCAATGAGACAGCAGATAGTACGTGCAAACAAAACTAAGGAGAAAGAAAGAACTGATTGCTTCATTGACAGCAAAGCCTTAATTCATCTTACATCGCTCATGAAAACTTCTGTTTATTTATTAATACCAGCATAATGTGAAAAAGGACCAGGGTAGTGAAGAGACAGGGACAAGGGAGCAGTGCTCAAGCCAGGATAAAATAAGGTCTGCCACTACTTCAACACATTACTTTCTATTAAGTTCCAAGACACTTCTGCTGTCAGAAAAAGCTCATGAAAAAAAAACCCAAAACAACAAAACAGGGTAATTTCCTTTTCTAAACCCTACTTCTTGAAAGCAGTCAACTACTATTCTCAGTTATGCCACCAGCTTTAGTGTATCTGTATGGAAATTCCAAAGCCTCAGCTTTCAGTGCAGACTAATCAGTCTGTTCAGTTACCTGAGGTAACTGAGCAGACCTTTCTTTCACCCATTCATTTGCCTTCCTTCTCCCTCCCAAAGTCTAAAAATAATATAAAACAACAGAAATCACTTAGAGAATAGGATTAAATCAACCCAATAATAATTAGATATAAAACATTTGTTCTCAGAGAGATCTGCTAGCAGATTTCAAAGTAGAATACTGGAGACAAGTAACTTGATCATTATTCCTCCTGTGTAACAACCTCCAGAAAACAATCAAGAAGCAGCATTCGGTCATATGCTTGAGTTTTAGAATGCACATTTGCATAAGCCATTGCACAAATACACTACTCCAAGTTTTTAAATTATATTGTACTGCTTTTAAAATATCAGTAAAACAAATCCTGATGCAAAGAAAAGAAACTGAATAGTAAGCAGAGAATTAGAAACAGGCAAGTACTGGAAAGTTGTTCTGGACATACACTTTTAGCCCTTAGTTACCCACATTGCACATCTACAACTCACATACACATCTGAGACGCAATTAACGTGTTGATTTTATAAATTAAAATATGATAGCTGAGATTATATACTTCTACCTTTCTCTGAACCAAACAATTTCAAACAGCTAAAACACGTGATAATCCTAAAATTATTTCTATTTAAAATGCATTGTAATGGTCGTTTCCAGCTTTAAAAATCATATGCATTTCATTTCCTCTACAGAAGGATACAGACCAGGACTAAGAGTTTAGGTTGTGCTAACAGAACATTACTAAACAAAGAAATTGGCTGACAGCAATTTACATGACAACTCAGTATTGCCTTTAGTATCAAATATCCCATACAATAACTTTACTTAAAAAAAAACAAACACCCCACACAAAAAAAAAAAAAAACAAAACCAAACCTCCACCTTACCTTGACACAAATTTGTCCAAATCTGAATTTCCCCTAGGCTCCATTATAATACTGAGATCAGTAATAGCAGCAGACACATTTCCTTTGTTCTAGATAAGGAACACCACAGTATGTTAGTAATTTCTCTAGCATGGAGAAATAAAGTTATCTATTTGTATATAAAATAATAAAAATATATCCAAATGCTACCAAGTAATACAATCCTTAAAATGGCATTTTTTAAACTACAGCTTATATGTGCGGAAAATTTCTGTCATTTCAACAGCATCAATATTATTCATGCAACAAGGTTTTGGAATAATAGCTGAACTTGTCAGCATTTAGAAAATATAAAAGAAGTCTTCCTTTATATCTGGTATAAAAGAGATTCATCTACTTCCTTTCTTATCACTTCCACTTCTTTAAGACTCTAATTTTCCAGCAAAATCCCTGTCACATATACCTGAAAATTCAAATATAAGGTTTCATCTGAAAACCATAATAATGCTACCCTAAGTTTAAAAAAATAAAAATTAAAAAATACTGTTAGTTTTCCTTTTATTTTTTATTTTAAAGCCCATAGTTGTGCCCCAAATTCCATCAATTTTTACAGTAATAACTGTTACTTGGGGATATGTGCATGACAGTAAAAATAAAATGTTTCTAAATATTTAACAGCCTACCAAAATAAAATAAAATTTTAAAAAAGACATTCATATAGTAGAAATGAAGCCACAAAAAACTTAATTATATTTTTTCTACACATTCTTGAAGACACCAGAGTAACAGGTTAGATAACAGTGAATGAAAAAGCTTACAATCGTGGCTTGAAGACTATAGCAAATGCTTCACTTTCTAGTGGGGACATTGTACTTGATTTTTCTTATACCCAGTCACCACAAGCAAATGGGAATGGCAATGGAAACTAAGCAGACAAGCAGGATATGAAAACATATATAGCAATCCATAGTACTGGTTGGACAGGAATGCTGCTAACGCTGCCATCACTAAAAAAAGGAAAAAGCAAAACAAAACACTACAAAGTTTAGTGGATTGTGTAAGTAACAACAGAAAAAATCATTTTAAATTTAGAGTAAAAGTTCAACACATGCATGGAGTTACAGAGAAGTTGCTAGTAGCCCACAGGCTAACACACTACCTTCTGAAGAAACTGGCTTTCCAATAAACGGGTCAAGTTATAAGATTCAAAAGGAAAGCTCTTGAGCAGGAAGCAACTCTTACTTGAACGCTTTCTCAAGAGGTTTATACATGTTTTGGCAGATTTTCAAACAAGTTTTATATGTCCTCTCCTAAAACCTAAGGACTCGCCTGGACACATTCCTGTGTAACCTTATCTAGGTGTTCCTGCTCCGACAGGGGGATTGGACTAGATGATCTTTTGAGGTCCCTTCCAATCTCTAGTATACTGTGATACTGTGTGACAGTATGAGAGGAAAATAAATAAAGCAATGCTTTTGCATTAGCCTATTTTCCTCATTCGCATTTTGATCTTTGTAAACATTCACCTATGCACAACGGTGAGCAGACAGGAGCTTCTTAGTTTGCACTCAAAGCTGGCAAAACACTAGTCTTCTTGGGAATATAAACTACACATTAATCTGTGCCAAAACCATACATCTCAGCTGGTTCTTTATTATGTCAGGCAGTCAGAGACCAGTACTACAGAAATACAGGCACAATCTCAAGCATTTAAAGCTAGTCAGAGTGAACATTGATCTGCATACCATTCTTTGTACAACTGTATCCTGGAATACAGCTTTTAATGTGAATGACATTTAACAATTTAAGATCAAATTAGAGAATTATCCTTTCTATTCTGCTGCATACTAATGTGTTTGTTATCTATTAAGCTTTAAAAAAAAAAAAAAAAAGCAAGCTGTTGTCTTTTATTTCTTAAGACGGCTGAAACTACCTGCAACCTTACACTAGCTTGCAGACACTGATCTCAGCACAGGTTGTTTTGAATACAACCATTAATGCCATATCTTAGAAAACAGGTTTCTCCATTTTTATATACAAGGATAGGCATTAAAAAGGTAAATTTTCAGGCCTTAGTCTGGCCTGAAGTCACAACTTTACTGAGACCTATGGAGGCAGGCTCCTCCACCCACAGAGGACCTACTGATCTGAAGTGTTTTTTTTCTAAATGTATACACTTAGTATTATTCTATATGCCTTACTCCAGCATACGTCATCAGCGCTGAAATACTACAACTCTCAGGAATTACCTAGACAACTGCTGCCATCAAGTGGTACAATAGATTTAAGCAGCACCAATGTAGCTCTGAATTTACATCCAGTTAATTTACATCATCTGATCTAGATAGACAGTAAAAGATGTCATCATTCCACAGGAGCATACAGGTGAGATATAAATACAAATCTAACCAAGTAGCATAACTGATGTGAGCTATTTCCATGCTGAAACCTAAATAGTTTTATACAAGAACATGGTAAAATAATATCACAAGTTTCAAGTCATTCATGGACTTCAGAGGTTACAAAATAACCTTATTCATCTTATGTAATCCACACGTGACTATTTAAATATTAATTTCCTAAAGTCATAATATGGCTTTTCTTAAGATTAGAAAGGAAGGCAGTTTTTAATACTATTAAGTTCAATTACATTCAATTTAAAAAATACCTTTAAAGCTGAGCTGAAAACCAAGTTTTCAGGAGAAGGAAGTTTCCTGATGTAAAAAATATTATTAAAAATTGGGTGATATTATAACAAATTGGGACAGCAGCTGTTTCCCACTGTTTATCATTTTGAATTCTGTGCTAAGAGTAGATTATTATGAAAGAACTTCCCTGCAAAAAAAAATCTGTATTTAGTGCAACTTCTGTGCAGTCCTGTGATGTAATGGCTACTGACACTAACCAAGCAAATTAGAAATATAACTGAAGCAAAGAAAAAAATGTTCAAGTTTGTAGTGTTTTTCCTCAGTTTCCTCAAGAGAGGTAAGATTTGAAATTTTCCAGTCTCTAGAACAAGATACCTGACTACAGAATGTGATGGGGAGAGATCAGAGACAGCTGTGGGATGAAAGATGTATCGGGTCAGGGCAAAGCCCCAGCAGGTATTTGGCATAGTCAGTGGAAATCCAGTGCTGTTCAGGGATTTACTTCAATGTTAGACTGCAACAGCATCTGGCAGGGTGCATATTTTGGGAAGGAAGGGTGATTGGGACATGGCAGTGTTAGGTTTATGGTTGGGCTTCATGATCCTAAAGGTCTTTTCCAACCTAAAGGATTCTGTGATAAGAAATTCACAACTGAATGTTGAACCTGACCTTCAGAATTATTTTGCTTGAATGCACATCAAATTCAAAAGTTGGGTCCAGCTGCTACAGGGTGAAAGCAACCCACCGAGGCTTAGGTTAAGGAGACTCAGGCAATCAAAATGACAAAATACCATTTTCAGATAGAAAAGGAAGTATTGACACTAGCCCATTTGAAGTTCTGTTCGGTTGCTTGGTGGTTATTGGGGGTTTAGGTGTTCATTGATCCTTACCTGCATATCAAAAAGCTGGGATTCCAATTGAAAAGACGAGCAGCAATTCCCTGATAATCTGTGCTTCCTCAACATTTTGTTTCTAGCTGTTGTAAAATGAAGTTAATACTTGATCAGAATTCCAATACAACAACTATTGCATCTCTTCCATTAGTCATATTTAAAGTACCAACTGATATCATCCATCATATTAAAAAATCAAGTTAAACATGTTAAAAGAAACCAAATTTAACTTTACATCAGTCTTTCACTTTCCCACTATGGGAAGTACTATACTCAAAAGCTACTTGTTAATAGAGAAAATTCTACTGTATTTCAAAATAATTGTCTTCCTGCTAACATTGAAAGCAGAATTAAAACATGCATTTTCAAATGTAATAGAAACAGTATGCTCAACACAGCACCAGAAAAGGGCACAAAAATGCTTGCTTCTTTCCAAAGTTTTCTTGGAATGACCTGTGAACTGAATACCATTAAGTTTCATTAAAAATGAAAGACGTGTTTCTGGGCTTTCAAGTTCAGTTTTCAGGTCTGCTGCAGATTCATGTCCCTCAGATTCTCCCCGAAGTTCTCTTTGGAATGATTTTCTAGAACTGGGGAGAAAAAAAAAAAAAAAAAAAAAGAAGAAAATAATCAAAAGGGGAAAAGACCAAGACATAAGAAAATGTTTTGTCACATCAGTACAGCAATACCATTTAAAAAAAAAAAAAAAAAGCACTTTTAACATGATCTGGTTGTTTTCTGACCAAGATCAGTTTTCAATAAGCCACATTTCAGCTGGATCACATTACCAGCAACAGTAAACTATTTTAACTTTCATAAATACTTATGTGCCCTATCATGTAGACACAGCCTTTATTAGAAGTCTTGAAATGCAAATATCTATTTTAAGGAATGTACAACAAAAATGAGCTGTGATGTCTTTATTGTCTAAATTACTTATTTTAGGTATGGAGTGTACATTTATTTACTGTAGAGTATCACTTAAATAATGGAAATAAGAAGCCCAAACATGGCATTTTCTTAGGATATGTCTAGTCACACCTGTCCATCTCCCCAATTCCAATCCCCATCTTCCCACCTTTTTTTTTTTTTAAATTAAATGGGAACTGAGCTGTTTCACAGTGCATAATGGAAAACATGGCCTTTGCAGACAACAACTTTGCAAGGCCTGCACAGCACTGTACCTGACGTCATGATCTGACCACTAAACATCCTTTCAGAAAACAAACAAACAAAACCCTAAGCCCCCACAAACTACCAACAGAAGACTGTAAACAGAGATCAAATATTTATTATTTGTGGTCTTTTACCATATGTAAGCCATGATATAAATAAGATCAGCACTATAAAAATAACAAAGTCCTAAGAAAAGCAAAAACTTATCCTAAACAATTCTGATAAAGAAACATTATTAATCCAACACGTGAAAAAAAAAGCTTGCATTGACATTAATATCTCCTCATCAGAAAAAAAGGTGGGTTCCTGTTGGCTATCTTCATACTTTTCAGCCAACAGTTTAATTTCCTCTTTCAGTGACTGGATTTCATCTTCATAAACGTAACGAACGTTGCTGTCCATTTTTCAGAATCGATGTTACTAGATAAAACAAAATAAATTTCCTAGGAGAAAAGAAATAATCTATATTCAAAATAAGTTTTTGTCCAATGAATTAAGAAACTCAAATATAATATTAGACAATTCTAATAGAGTCAACTCTATTATTTTATGAATTTAGAGAGCTGAAGAACTGTTAAATACAGTTTTTAAATATCCCAGGTAGCTTCAACAAGTACAATCATTTATACCCTCATAAACAATTCTAAGGTGTCAAAACACTGCTGCCTACAATAGAAGATAACACAAACATATAAACCTTGATCCTCAGCAACCAAATTTGACAGGAATTCTGCCACCAACTTGAAAACAGAATTAGGCTTGCAGTAAAACTCCACTCTTAACACTACAGCACTCTGTGATCAGTGTAACTCCTACTTAAACCCTAGAAAGCCCACTTAGAAAGACACATTACAAGACCAAAAAAGCCACTTGTTCTGTAATTCTGAATGCAAAAAAACCTCCTTAAGAAACAGTAGCTCACTCTAAAAGCATCATGAACAGGAAAGATTCCACCTCCAGTGGATACAGGCAGCTACTACATAGCAGCAAGAAAGTGACAATGAACATACTTCTGACTTCACCTAAAAGAAACAAGTTTCCTCTGATATAGATAGCAACTGTGATTAAAATGTAGTTTTGTCGCATTAGTTTCTCAAAGAATTTATTGACTCTAAATGTAATTAGTAAGCAAATTCAAAGTCACAGATCACTGCATAGCTTCTGAATACAGAAGTTAAATCAGGAATCTAAAATCGTCAAAGACTCTTTAAGAACCTTTTCAACTAATCATAATTTCATCCAGGAGCATATCCAGCTGTTCTAAATTAACAGAGCAAGCAGCTGGGCTGCAAATAAAAACCAGTCCTAAGCTGCTACAGAAACAGAATCCAGCTTTGACCACCTCATCTAACGATGCATCTGATTAAATGAAGCACACCTGCTCCTACTAACACAACAGCATAACCTGTCTTTCAAGTAAACAGCAATAAAGAGACACAAACAAACAGCCACATTTAATTAATAATTGAAGACAAACTTAAATTTTAAGAAAAAAAATCTGATTTTCAGCCTAGACATAACACATTCAAAGGACTGTAGAAAATGTTGTGCCACTCCATACCAATGTATCTTTCACCTAGGGAAAAAGAAACTAAACCCACAACAACAAGAAAAAACCTAGTTTTATATGTGGCTTTAAACAACTGTATTTGTAACATCTACACTAACATGGCTCAACAAAAATGCATGGGGGGGAATAGGATTTTGTTGGTTTAGGTCATAAGAAACAGCACCTGAATAATACATGTAAGAAAATATTACAAATGTTTTAAATTAAAAATTTGCTCATTTAATAAAGTATATACAATTAGAGAACCACTGACATTGTAACTGCCTCTGAAATTGTAAAGCAACCTTATGCAGTGTTATGATTACAAACAATATCCATGGGGACAAGAAACGGAAGTTCAAAACTTCTAATGTATCCTATTAAATTAGGGTTTTTTTTTAAGTGGATGCATTGAAGAAAGTTTTGGTGATAATAAAGAGTACATTGAGAAAAAGAAAGACATTACAATAACCAGAACTTCACTACAGACTGTCAGTAATTCCTTTTTTAACAGCCGTTTTGAAAACGGTAACAAAACACATACGTTGCTTACAGGTATTTACCTTAAGCGATTATACTACAGTGCAGAAGACTCAAAGACTAATTATGACCTCAAAACCAGCATAAAAACACACTTACATGCATAAAATGAATAAAAAAACCCTTTAACAACAAACAATCATTTCTCCTCAAATGAAACACACACACACATACATACCGATACTTTAATGGTAAACATTTCACATTTCTACGTACCTGCCCGTGTACACTGCTAAGCATTTATTTCTATGCTGTCACAACGAAAGCTTGAACCAGAACTCAACAGGTTGTAAGGACGGAGCTGCCGAGGTGCAGCGCTGCCCGGCTTTGCTCCTAACCCTCACATCTCACAGGGCAATGACAGGAAGCGGCGCTCGCTAGCAGAGCCAGTACTGCCGCCGCCCGCCACAGGACCCGGCTCCAGGGCTCGGGGTTGCCCCAGCACCACCACGCAGACCCTGGAAGAAAAGCCGGAAACTTCGCTCAAACCGCACTAAAGTCTGCACGCAACACGCTCTTCGAACTGCCCAACCACCGGCAGCGAGCTGGCCAGTACCACTACGGCTGCCCAGGCGGGGGGCACCGTCCGCGACTTCATCCCGCTCCCCGGAAACACAGCCACTGGAACACCAGATCCAGAGTTAGCTGTTCAAAATGGTGCAATAAGCGCTGTTTTGTCAGGCAGCTCCTTATTCTCTATTGCTGATTTCTTATTAGTGTCTTGTGGAAACTCCCCCTTCTTTCCTCTTAGTTCCTTCCAATCGCACCTCCCACTGGCCCCAGACCCAATCCTCGTGTTCACGCTGCTCCAGTCAGCAACAAGCAATGAGCATGAGCCGGAGGACGCAGGTGGTGGACCTTTTTTTTCCCCCAGGGTGACTGGAAGGGCTGCAAGGAGGCAGATAAATTGAATGGATTTACGAGGTGCTCATCTTCTCCCAAGGACTCATGCAGATTGGCCGCTGTACTCTCAACTGCAGATCTAATCAGGAGATGGTGTAACTGCTGCATGTGGCACAGGGTTGCTCTGTGGTCCTCTACTGCTTCTTAGAATCATAGAATAGTTAGGGTTCTTAGGTCAGCGTGGAGCACTGCACTTGTGCAGTGCTCCTGCCCTGCTGGCACGTGGTGCCCAGCACACACACAAGAAATACTAGGTCTGCTGTTTCGGTGCCCAGCACACACACAAGAAATACTAGGTCTGCTTGTGAGGTATATAGGAATGATTCGTGTCAGAAATTTAAGAGTCCTTGTCATCATTGCACTCTGGGAGGAATCGAAAATCATGTGTAGAATGTATACGAATGATCAGATTAAGATGGGAGTTCTTGTAAATACAGTGATGAAAGAAAAGAAGGAACAAAGGAATCCTAATCAAAGTCTTTGTTACTTTAAGGGGTACTTTGTTTAACTACTTGAATGTCTCAGATGCTTTGCTAACTACAGAGGGTGTTTTGTTTAACTGCTTGAATACCTTAAGGGGGTTAGGTAATCCAGGGATACATTCTGTTACGGGATGAGGTGAAACTTGTGTATTCAATATGTAACTATATAAGAAATGGAATTGAGGGGGCTAAGATGGTGGTTAAGCTTGTGACAGATATCCCCTGTTAATGTATTGCCAAGGAATTCAATGGCATTTTAAGAAGTTTCATCACCCAAAGATAAGATCCCAGCAACAGGAGGAGAACAATGAAAAGGAACCACGTCGATGTTCGGGTGAAGGAGACGACAGGATTGGCTGAAACCGAAGACCGAGGAGTATAAGAGACTGTACCCCAGAACTCTCGGTGTGCGTCTTGGGTGGAGCAGAGACTCCCCAGCGCACCCAGCGCTGCTTGCTTATTGCCTCCCGATATTAATCAATTGTAATAAAAAATTAATTAAATCAGATCATGGCCAATACGGAATTTTTATAACATGCTGTTTCGGAGGATCTTCACTAGGCTCTCTGGTGTGTTCAGAGAGTGGTGCAGGCTGTGAAAGGCTTGTACACTGGCTGTGCTGCTGTGCTTCTGTTTGTACGTTGGAGGGCGTGGCCATGTGGTGTCTCAGGCTGAACTGCAGGAAAGATTTGGCAAGTTTGGGCGTGTTTTGGAACCGGAGATTATTATCAGACAAGATGACCAGGGTAAGAACTTTGCGTCATTCTTTAAAAGTATATGGAGCCATTCTTTTAAAAGCGGATTGGTTTTCAGTTTGTTGTGTGAAACTTTTTTTTTTTTTTTTAGGGTTTTTTTGGTGAGTTTTTTGTTTGTTTTTTTTCTTGTTTTTTTCTTGGTTTTTTCTTGGCTTATGACACACTTTATTCTTAGGAGACGGCTTAGTTTTAAGGGAAACTGTGAAATTTCAGAGAAATTAACTGAGTGTTTCTCTTTGCTCAGGGAACCCTCTGAAAGCTTTCACTTACCTCAATGTCAGCATTTTTGATGCAGATCTTAGAAAGTGTAAGTACGTGGCTTTAATTATTTCTTCTTACGTAATTTATTTTTTTGAGCCAGATTGCATTCCTGGAAATGCATCTAATGTCAGATCAGGATATGGTCAAGGTAGACCCTCTTTCCTTCTGTTGTCATGTTCATTCATTCCCTTTTCTTTAAGCTGCAATTTTATTGAAGTTACAGGAGCTCTCAGTAGGTGTAATCACCTTAGAAAGGTTCCTTGTGACTGAGTGACTTAATGAGTTCTAACCCTTGTAGGAAAAGTTATAGGAAATGTGCTTCAAACAGTCGCATCAGGTCCATACAACATTGTAACTTGATATGAGAGGGAGCCCAGGAGAAGAGTTTATGTGAAGCATGCTCCTGTTGCAGCAGTATTACAAATCCCACAGTCATGGGGTTATAAAACTAGTTGCAGGGTTATAAAATCACCTGTGTAACATGTGGCAGCAAAACTGCAGGTGAAGATGCCTGTTCTCGAAGAGAGGGGTTAGAAATAATGCCCTTTTATGTAGGGAATGCTGCTATTAGGAATGGGAAAGCAGTTAGTGACTTTTGGAGAGCTTTTGACACTTTGCATCCAGAAGTTCCAGGTACATCACTTTTCCCTCTGGTTTTCAGTAGTCCTTAACTGTGTTTTTCAAAATGCACAAGAAGTGAAGTCGAGAACAGCCTATCTGACGAGATGATTCAGGGGGTGGGAGCACCTCCCAGACGAAGACAGGCTGAGAAAGTTGGGGCTGTTCAGACTGGAGAAGGCTGCATGGAGACGTCATAGCAGCCTTCCAGTACCTGAAGCGGGCCTACAAGAGTGCTGGAGAGGGACTCATAGAATCATAGAACAGTTAAGGTTGGAAAGGACCTTAAGATCATCAAGCTCCAACCCCCCTGCCATGGGCAGGGACACCTTGCTCTAAACCATATCACCCAAGGCCTCATCCAACCTGGCCATGAACACTGCCAGGGATGGAGCCTTCACAACTTCCCTGGGCAACCTATTCCACTGCCTCACCACCCTAACAGGAAAGACTTTCCTCCTTATGTCCAATCTGAACTTCTCCTGTTTATGTTTAAACCCATTACCCCTTGTCCTATCACTACAGTCCCTAACGAAGAGTCCCTCCCCAGCATCCCTATAGGCCCCCTTCAGATACTGGAAGGCTGCTGTCCTACCAACAAGACATAGCTAAGGTGTTCAGATCCATTAAGTGGGAGCTGTGCCTGCTGTTCAGGGAGCAGCAGAATTGAGTGTTAGCAGATTTCTTCAGGGCCTGCAGGCTGGACATGGCTTTTCAGCATAGATCTAGGGTGTTACTTGTGTGGCTCAGCCTCTTCTGCATTAGTTCTCTCTCACTTGCTGTCTGACTCAGTTACATGGTTTTACCTTTCTCTGAGTACATGTTCCAGACTCTGCAGACTGAGGTGAGAAGCTCTGTTGGGAGATGTGTTTTCCCAGCTGTCTGCTTTGACAACTAGGCACACCTCAAAGCTGGAGTTAGTTGTAGCAGGAATGAACTCCATGGCCTGTGCCATGTCCACAAGAATGCTGGGGCCACAGGGCTGCCCATCAGGCTGTTGGTGTGAACCCTGCTCCCTCTTTCTCTTTGCAGGCTACGAGGAAACCCTGATGTGCCTTGCTGCCATCCTGGCCAAGCATTTTGCTGGCTCAGGGATTGTGGGCACAGGTAAAACTGCACTCCTCTGCTTTGGAGTAATGTTGCAGGTCTGGCTGGTCCCAGGGCCAGAGGCTCACCAGGCTTCCGTTGGGCTCTATCTGCTGACTCTGTTGAGGGCCTTATGTCTTAGTGTACAAAGAGATGCTGGGCACTGCCCTTGTCTGGCCTGTTCTGCTTCTTCCAGAATCAGATACATGACCTAGGATACCCTTTTAAGAGTCTTTTTGGTTTTAAGTTTTAAGATGTCCAGTCTGGGGTTATTCCTTAGCTGTCTGAGCATTAGCATGCTCTCCACAGCATCAGGGACAGTGTGTCTCTCTGAGTGAGGATCAGTCCCTCTGATACCGGGAAATAAAAGGTTATCATTGTGCCTGCTTGCTTAAGCAGTTGCTGTGCTTGGTGAAGCAGAACTGTAGGAGTCAAAGTTGCTAGAATGGTGAAGCAGAATTGTAGCAGATAAGATTCATAGCTTAATATTTAAGACATTCTTGTTCAAATAGTATCTTTAGAAAGAAAAAGAACAAAAGATAGCCAGAGTAACAAAATTTACAAACTTGACAAGTTTCTACTTTAGGATACATAAAACCGGCTTGTACCAAACCTGAGGTTTGAAATCCTACTGAGTCTGTGTGAAAGCAAGAGGTTACTCGTGGTGATGAAGAAGAACTACAGGCCTTCATCCTCACGACCCCCTAATGACCGCCACCAGGAGGCACTGCGCAGGCGCACCAATGGGACAAATGCCAGAAAACTAATTATAATACTAGATGGGAATAGGTTTTGCATATGTATTAAGCGTGAAGCAATCTCTTGTTTAGGTAATCATTATATGGAATATAAACGAACTGAGTGGCAAAGGGGGGTGTGCATGCTTTTGGAGGGGCAAGCCCCATGCGACTCAGCGCTGAATAAAGCATACCTACTTTACAGCTCTAACGAGTTGTGGAGTCAATCTGCATATCACCTCTAGCCTCTGTTGTTCAGGTGCTCCCTGGTACGCTTCATGTCCTTGGGTGCCTGGCCTAGTCTGTTCTCATTCCTCCTCAGACATCCAGGACTTCCTGACACAGGCGTTGGCCAGCTACGTCTGCTACTCCCGCTCAGTGCATGCTGTAGAGAGGATCGCAGAAAAGCAGTAAGTGCTGCCCTACCTGTAAAGGGTTCACGCTTAAACGAGGGCACTTTAGGTTAGATATAAGGAAAAAATTCTTCACTGTGAGGGTGCTGAGGCCCTGGAACACGTTGCCCAAATAAGTGGTAAACGCTGCATCCTTGGCAGTGTTCAAGGCCAGGTTGAACGGAGTCTTGAGGGATATAGTTTATTATGTGTGGTGTCCCTGCCCATGGCAGGGGGTTGGAACTAGATGATCTTAAGGTCCTTTCCAACCTAAACCATTCTATGATTCTGTGACTTTTCATGTACAAACTTAAATCAAGTGAGTAATAAGATAATGCTGAAGAAACTTCTAGAAGGAGGCATAGTTAAGCCTAAACCTTTTTTACTTTTTTTTTTTTTTAATGAAGAAAATCCTCATTTCCCATCTCCTTGCTTTACAGGCATGTCAGTTTTAAATAAAATGGAAAGGAGGAACACTGCAGATACAGTGGCCGAAGAAAGGCTGCACAGCTACAAATGAATTTAAAAAAAATATATTTCTCTGTTTATCTGATAGTATTATGGCTGTGCTTTTGGCTGCAACGCTGTTAAACCTCTCTAGGTTTTATTGTCATTGGTGGACCATTGGTGCACATTAGATTCTGTAACATGTTTTGCATCGTTATTCCCTTAGAGGTAACAGATGTGCTAATTCTTCAGGTAGGAATGGTTACTGTTCTGTGAGCTGGGGTCATTGCCACCTGTAATTTAGCAAACAGCAAACCTTTATTTCATGTATAATGTGCTTCTTGGTACAGTCTGGCCAGGGAGAGGGAGGAAGCAAAGCTGCAGAAAGAAGGGCACCAGGGAAATTGGGAAAAGACTCTGTTAGAATTGCTGAAAAAAAAAAAAGAGAGTAAACAAATAACTAGTCACTGATGGTTCTTTACGAGTGTGTCTGTTATCCACGTATAGCCATGCCACAGTTACCTGGCACCAAACACTGGCACTGCAACAATCGGGCCATGCCACGGCTGCCCAGCGTGCTCCCAGTTGAACTGTCACACCCCAAGTGCCTACACGCAGCCCAAAGACAGCAGGAGAGAAGCCAATCGCCGGCAACATGTGGTAAAAGCAGCACCCACAGCCAGGCAGTGAGAGGCTGTCCAGTGCTTATCAACACCTGAGACCAGCAGCCCCAGCACCAGCAGGCAGTGGCCATCGGAGGCATCTTATGGCTCCACAGCACTGGAAAGCGGCAGCAGCCCTGTGGTGTTTCACGACGTGGACTCAAGTGCAGATGCAGAGTCTCAAATCCTCCTTTATGCAGAGGATGCAGAGACTCAAATCCTCCTTTATTACCGCCAAGCCCTTTTTATCCCCTTGTTCAGTGCTTTCCCAACCTGCACATGCATACAAGGTTCAAAACAAACATTCTTAATACAATTTTTCACTCGTGCTCCTAGCCTAGCAAATAAACAGTTAAAGAACAGTTAGCCTTCTGCACTAACAATTGGTTTTGAACTACATAATGAAAATACAGATACACCAGAACTGCACACAATACTCCAGGTGAGGTCTCACGAGAGCAGAGTAGAGGGGCAGGAGCACCTCCTCCGAACCGCTGGTCACACTCCTTTTGGTGCAGCCCAGGACACGGTTGGCTTTCTGGGCTGCGAGCGCACACTGCCGGCTCATATTCATTTTCTCATTGAAAATTTCTTGCAGCTGTACTGTTATATCCCCCCAGCCATCCCATATGTCCACAGGATTCCAGGCTGCCATTGCTTTCAACAGCAGTGTGAAAGGACTCATAGGTGTGGCAACCGAAAGGCACAGGGCGTCTTGTCCAGTCACATTGGCTAATATTCTACAGATGTTCTCTTTTGGCTGGCCTGGAAACCACGGCAGGTGTCATTCCTTTTGTGATGAAGGGACAGAAGACAAGGCAGGACGAACCCATCGTGCAGGGACCCAACAAGGGCCTTTATCTTGTTATCCAAGAATATCCGTTTTGTTTTATTCCAGGGTTACTTCCATTCCTTCTTTGCTTAACACTGGTTATTTTTCTTCTCTTTCAGCAATGGGTTGCTGGTAAATTTGGCAGAGTCTTGCCTATCGTACACCTTCGGATCAACAGAAAGGGAAAATATCCTTTTCCTCTTGGTTGGGCCTAGGCACAATTTCCTTCTTTCTTTCGTCCTACAGGGAAACATTCTGACGAGCAACTGTCAGATGCCGCCTCCTTTGCAGATGAGAGAGGTCAGCCTGTGTCCAGGCCACACTTGCAAGGAAAGAGCAAAGATGCAAGTTCTACACAAGAACGGAATCCCAGCCTTTCCACCCGGCTCTGGGACAGAAGTCTTGCTCCCAGCAGCTCCACAGAGGCTCCATCACAGGAGCGCGCTCTGCCAGGTGGATCTGCGGCCTGTTGCCCAGCAGCGGCCACATCCTGCGCCCTGCCCTGACGTCTGGGTCTGGCTGTGAAGACCCTGAGGCTGCCGCTGATGGGGTCTGCTCTACTCTTTCCAGGACCGCTTTGTGTGTGGCGAGAGGCGGCCACCATCACCTGCCAGGAGATGGGCTGCGACCGCAGGTTCCATCTCCCCTGTGCCGTGGAGGGTGGATGCGTCACTCATTACCTCCCGCAGTTCAGGTACCTCCTCTCCCCTCCTCGTTGTCACCAAGGAAGGGCCCAGAACTTGTCATCTCTTCCCCCAGATCCTCAGAGTCACAGAAATCATTTATGTTGGAGAAGGCCCTAAAGGTCATCGAGTCCAACCGTTAAGCTAACACTGCCAACTTTACCAGGAAGCCATGTCCCTAAGCTGGCCCTTGACTCTGCACTTGCACGTGGAGCAGCCGCCCCAGGGACCTGGGTGCCAAGGGCTCAGGTCCCTGACTGCGCTTCACAGCCAGCCCTGTGATGCAGTGTCAGTGTCACAGTGGGGGGTGTGTGGCTGAGGGTGCCCCACCCATATTTGGGTGCGCACGGTGCTGATGTCACAGAAGCCACTGTGACCGGTGGCAGGGGCAGGCCTATGAAAAAGGGAACGCTGGGCACAGTGCATCAGTGCGACCTGGTGAGGTGCGGGGAGTAGAGGGCAGAGACAGAGCTCTCGGGGGGGCTGCCGAGGGAGCAGGGGGCTCCACACCGCAGGGCTCTGGGCCTGTGCTGCAAGCTCACCCGCGTCTCTCTTTTCCCTCAGAGACAGCAGAGGAACATCTGGAGAAGACGCCCCAGCGCTGCTGGGACAGGGACTCTCCGAGCGCTCACTGTTGATGTCTGACACCTCCTTGCGGAGGTGTAGGACACCCAACTCGATGGAGCAGGGTGAGAGCAAAGTCCCCCTCCTACAGCCTGGCAGAGGGACTCCCAAGGCTGTCGGCGTGGGACCGGGAGCGTTGACAGGGGGAGGCAGGAGCTCCAAAGCCACCCTGGGGGAGGGCCCCTCCTCGTCAAGCGGGAGCAGGGCTGGGCAGTGCGCACCCTCCGGGACACCCATGCCTGCAGTGCCTTTTCCTCTCCAAGGCTTCCATCCCTGCTCAGCAGCCAGCTAGGCAGGGACAGAGCAGCCCCTGGGGGCAATCCCTCAGAAACACATCCCCGGCCCCACACAGGTGCTCATTCTCAGGTGCATTTGCTCTCTCCTCTCCAGAATGCGTGCTGTGTCGACGGGCAGAGGCAGACCCGGACATCTGCGGGCCAAAATTGGTTACTGAAGGCGTCTATGCCCATCATTTTTGCCTGGTGAGCTCCTCTGGGGCTGGCTTCATCTTTGCAACACACCAGCCCTGCCACATGCCCCTCATCAGCTCCTTGTCTCTTCTGCAGCTTTTGGCCAGTGAGCTTCATCAAGAAGACACTGAACAGGAGATGAGATTTTCCTATATGGATATTCAACGTGCAGTCGAGCAGGCAGCCCAGATGGTGAGGATCTGAGATGATCAGAGTGATTTGTGCCAGGAGAGGTTTGTGGGACCTTAGCTTAGATGCCAGGGACAGAATCCCAGGCCTTCCACCCAGCTCTGGGACTGAAGTCTTGCTCCCAGCATCTCCACAGAGGCTCCAGCACAGGAGCCTGCTCTGTCAGGTGGATCTGTGCTCTGTGACCCAGCAGTGGCCATATTCTGCTCCCAGGCCTGAGGTGTTGGTATGGCTGAGGAGGCCCTGAGGCTACCGCTGATGGGGGCTGCTCTACTCTTTCCAGGATTGCTTCGTGTGTGGCGAGAGGGGGGCCACCATCACCTGCCACGAGATGGGCTGCGACCGCAGGTTCCATCTCCCCTGTGCCGTGGAGGGTGAATGTGTCACCCGTTATCTCCCGCCGTTCAGGTACCTCCTCTCGTCTCCTCACTGTCACCAGGGAATGACCCAGCGCTTCTCATCTCACCCATCCCTTCCCTCTTCCCCCAGATCCTTCTGCCAGGAGCACCGCCCACAGCAGCAAGATCTGGTGGCTCCAGCGAACGCCATCTGCCTCGTCTGCATGGACCCTGTTGAAGGCAGAACTACCTATAGGACCATGGTCTGCCCAGTATGCAGACACGCCTGGTTCCACAGGGCCTGCATCCAGGTAGGAGCCGTTCCCTTGCTCCAGGCGCGGCAGGCTCTCAGCAGTACCAGAGCCTCACTCACGCTTTTTATGTTTCTCCTGCAGGGACAGGCTATGCGTTCTGGAAGTTTGTGCTTTCAGTGTCCTCTGTGTAGAAATCAGACTATGTTTCTTGTTGAAATGATAAACATGGGGATCCAAATCCCCTTAAGGTGAGTGTCCTCCTGGCCACCACTTGCCATACCTGGACCTGCACCAGCAGTCGTGGTCTTCTGCTGTCCCCCGAGTCTGGGCTTTAGCTCTATGGAGGAGTTGGAAACAGAGTGTGTGGGGAAGAGCGGGGAGGCCCCGCATCCGCCTTATGCTGAGGCAGCAGGGGCTCATCAATTTTCCTTTCTCCATCAGAGAAGCGTCATGGGAAGACAACAATGCACAAGCAGAACTGCTCCGGAGGCACAGCCACTGTGATGCCAGGGAGTGCCTTTGTCCAGGAGGCAGATGGGTGGCAGAGCCAGACGGGTAAGTTGCCAAAGCTGCACCCTGGGGCTGTGCACGGGATCTGTGTCTCAGCAAGGGCTTGAAGCAGAAAGGCTGAAGAGAAGAGCTCTGCTGGACAATCCCATGCTGTGGGCACTTTAACCTCAGAGACATGAATCTATTTCTTTCCCCAGGCCCTGGCAGCTGTTCCTGTGCCAATCCTGTGCTAGTGAGGGCAGACACAGACACTGCGGCAACTTGGGGAACAGTCATGAGGCCAGATGGGAGTGTGACAACTGTGGTGGCCTGGGCACCTGTAAGTGTCAAAGGACCCGGGTGCTCCTGGGCTGGGGCCAGGGGTCAGGCAAGGCCTGGCAGTGGGTGCCTGGTGTGGGCTTGGCAGAGCCTGTCTGCTCCAGGAGAGCTGGGGCACGGCTCAGGCCTATGCTGTCCCAGGCCTGGGAGCCAAGTCCTTAACCTTCCTGCTTGCCCTTGCAGCCTCCGGTGCCGGCTTAGAGCTTGCTGGTCCCAGCACTGTCAGCCCAGCAGCATCACGGCAGTCTCCTGGATCTCTGGAAGTGGAGTCCAGCAGACCCAGCACCAGCAGCCAGGCAGCAGCGGTGCAGACTCTGGGACCTGAGGCACAGGAGACCAGCAGCCCAAGCAGTGTCAGACAGATGCCATCAGGGCCATGCCACGATTTCCCAGTGTGTGAGGGCAGCAGCCGCTCCAGCCCCCCTGGGCCCGACCAACGGCAACACCAAACCCCAGACAACCAACAGACCCAGATACCCGATGCACGGAACGGAGGAGAGCGGGAGAGAAGCCGACCACCAGCAACACGTGCTGCGAGCAGCACCCCCAGCCAGGTGGTGCCAGGGCTGTCCCAATGCTCCCCATCACGTGAGACCCGCAGGCGCAGCACCACCAGGCAGCAGCCATCTGCAGCATGCCGTGGCTCTGCACCACTGCGAAGAAGCAGGAGCAACAGACCCAGTGGGCCCATGCAGGTGCGAGACCGTTCCCCCTTGCAGCGTCGGGCCCAGGCTCCCTGTGCACGGCGCAGAAGATGCTCCCCTGGGAGTCGCACACCAGCAGCTCGAGCGGGGAGGAGCCCCCGCAGACAGGCTGCAGCCAGGCTGTCCCAGTGCTCACCCAGACATGCGAGCCACAGCCGCAGCACCACAAGACAGCGGCCATCAGCATCATCCCGTGGCTCCAGAGCACGCCAAAGAGAAAGCGCCTCAAGATCCACCGGGCCCGTGAGGGCGCGAGACCGCTCCCGCTTGCAGCGTCGGGCCCAGGCTCCCTGTGCACGGCGCAGAAGATGCTCCCCTGGGAGTCGCACACCAGCAGCTCGAGCGGGGAGGAGCCCCCGCAGACAGGCTGCAGCCAGGCTGTCCCAGTGCTCACCAGGACGTGCGAGCCACGGCCGCAGCACCACAAGACAGCGGCCATCAGCATCATCCCGTGGCTCCAGAGCACGCCAAAGAGAAAGCGCCTCAAGATCCACCGGGCCCGTGCGGGTGCGAGACCGTTCCCGCTTGCAGTGCCAGGCCCAAGCTCCCAGCACGCGGCGCAAAAGACGCCGTTAGAACAGCCACACGCCAGCACCACGTGCAAAGAGCTGCACACTCAGACAGGCTGCAGCTTGTTCAGTGCTTTCCCAACCTGCACATGCATACAAGTATCAAAACAAACATTCTTAATACAATTTTTCACTCGTGCTCCTAGCCTAGCAAGTAAACAGTTAAAGAACAGTTAGTAAAATAAACAGTTTTACAGTCTTAATCATTCAATTTAGAATCATAGAATCCTAGAATAGTTAGGGTTGGAAAGGACCTTAAGGTCATCAAGTTCCAACCCCCCTGCCATGGGAAGGGACAACTGACACTAAACCATGCCACCCAAGGCTCTGTCCATCCTGGCCTTGAACAGCGCTAGGGAGGGAGCATTCACAAATTCCCCGCTCTTGCGGTCTTCCACTTTTCAGGGCCCAGTTGAGGAACTAACTCAGTCTGACCCTGACCCACCAAAAGCACCTGGGCATTCTGGTTCCCTGCCTTTTCCACATCCCACAAAGGCTGCTGGCCTCCAGGATGAGCATGAGGAGCAAAACAACTCCACTTAGGCTTAGATCACCCTCAGGCAAGGAATCGTAAGGCTCTTTGAATATCTGCCTATTCCTTTGACAGACGTGTTTTTCAGTAAACAATAAATACTCCGAGATGAACTCATATGCCTGCTGGGAAGAAGAAAAGCAAAGGGTGATGTCTTCTAGGAACAGCACCACTCACACCCAGGTGTGAAACAGCTGGACCTTCCTGATCAATGTCACCACCTCAGCTCTTTGGCTTCCCCTTTGACACAGTGCTGATGTCTGCATGACTTGGGCCGAGGGTCAGCCTCAAGGACTGCTGAACAGTGTTGTCATCACAGGCATCACAGACCGTATATATCAACACTTCCACAATTGAACACAACCACCGCACACATGGGGACACGGAAATGCACACATGCACAAAGCCCAGCGTCCTTGTTGGGAATGTCTGGGCACAGATCTGCTTCTTCCTTACTGACCACATTAGCAGAGCTCCAGGCTATCTGAGACTCTGCCTGACAGAGCAGTTCTGTAGGATCAAAGTTCTGTGGTCTGTTGGCCATTGCCCAAGCGTCTAAACAAGCCTGCTAAGCATATGCACCTCTGCTCTTCAGGCCAGGGCCCTGAAATGAAAACAGCACACGAGGTGACTTCATGGTGCCAGAACCCGCAGGAACCTTCTCCACGTCTCCCACCTCCACCTTCTGATGGGAGTCCCCCACCAGCCAACCGCTAGGTCATGTATACAGACAGGGCTGGAAGCTGGGGGAGATCCGGTGCCACTGGACACAGGCTTCTGAGCAAGATGCATTCCTGGCCTGAGGTGCAATGACAAGGTCTGAAGTCAGTATCCACAGAAAGGGCAATGGGATATAGGGAAGTGCATTCCACCACATTACAACAATCACTGCCAGGAAGGGAACGTGCCTCACCCAGATGGTGGAGTCCACCTGTTTTGTGTGTCAAGAGGAGACCTACATGTGCCCACTCGTACTCTTTAGAGGCTTGCTTCCCCGGATAGTTACAAAGAGGAAGGAAGCAAGGCCAGAAAGTTGCCTTTTCTCCTTTGCCATTTCCAACAGACAAAGGCTTGTGCGCAGCGCTGGCTTCAGCAGCACGAGTTGTGCTGTGAAATAGCAGCTACAGCAAGAGAGCTGAAAGCAGAGTGCTGGAAATCCATGGGCAGGCATAGCTCCTTGTGAGAGTACACTGCGACGAATCTCGTGAATGCAATGGGTTTTGAGAAGAGGAGTGGCTTCTAGGACCAGGATGGGTTTTGCACCTTTGAACAAGAGTCACACCAGAAGGTGGAATTTTAGCCATCAGGACTTCATGGAAGACAGAAACATCATGCGCCCTTCAGCTCAAATCATTCGTGTGGCCTGCACGAAACTCTTAGGACAGATCACTGACAGTGATACCTGGGAGTGCGCATCACCTTCCTCAGACAGAGCAGCAGCGCTTAGACGGCAATGTCCTGGGCCAGCCTGTCCCTTTGCTGGCTTGACCAGAAGTGCCTGCACCGGTTCTGTGTGCGGTCAACACAGAGCTGTGCACAGGGTGGGTGACGGGAGAAAGAGGACCCCGCTTCTCCATCAGCATGCCTCCAAAGACCCTCTCTACCATTCCCAGGTGGGCCTCACCACTTCCACCCTTGCCCGCTCGCCACGGATGTATGGTGGGAGACCAAGCAAAAGTCCATGACAAAGCAACCGGCCTGCAGGTGTCCAGGGGCGAGGCGCGAGCAGCATGCAACAGCTGATCAGGAGTCTGTGTGTCTACCTGTGGAGCAATGGTTATTCTCATGAGGGCCTGCACAACCCAGGATTAGAGCCGAGTGAGACAGCCTTGAACTCTCTCTGACTCAGCTGAGTCGAGGAGGCCTGGAGTTGAAGAAATGTAAGCAGAACGCTGAAACAGGAGCTTGCTGGCCACAAGGAATGCACCGCTTATCACAAAGCATGCACCCTGCTGTTGTAGAGATATGTGTGTAAAACTTAGCTTAGCCAATAGCAATGTATAGACAGGCGCGTGAACAGTTGTTGGGGACCAATGATAGCTTTGCTTTAGGAGCGTGGCTGATTTAGAATCCTATATAAACACTGTGTATGCAAACAATAAACGAGAACGATCATACTCATATTGAGGTTGCGTCGTTACTCCGGGCCCGACTCCCACTCCGACATCTGGTAGCAGAGGATGGTTCCTGACCAAAGATCTCCGAGACTGTGGTAAGCAGCAAGAGGAGGGTCGGAGCGGGAAGAATCGGCTGGGGAAGCCCTGCCGGGGACAAGAGGTCCAGGCAGACGCGGAAAGCCGGCGTTAGAGTAGCTCTCTAACCCCCAGGTGCAGCTATGGATCAGGAAGCTGCAGCCAACTTGCTCACCGGAATCCTCTCCAAGAGAGGGAAAGAAGCGCCGGTGAAGCAGCTGATACGATTAATTAAGTTAGGCCAAAAATGGGGACATTTTGCAGACATTTGTCTGATATTTTCCGTATCGGAATGGCGAGACTTTGGGGGAACCATGTGGCAAAAACTGTGTACAAGTAGAAAGTGCAAACGCGGTCACCTTCAACCTAGAGGATGAAGACCCCGAATCGGAATTGGAACCAGACCCAGAGTCTCCGTCAGAACCGGACTTGTACCCTTCCCTTCCTGACCCCAACTCAGACTCAGACAATTCAGACAGTTTGGTTCATCGGCAGATGCGATCCAGCCTCAGTGACGGTCAACTGCAACAGCTGCTGAAGAAATTAAAGCATTTGAGACAAAAGAAACCTTCGAACCCTCTGCTCCACCCTCCTACAATCCAGTAGTAAAGAAAGGGGAATGGGAGGGGGGTGCTGGGCATGGGGTACGGGATTACGGTAATAACCCTGCTAAACGTTATCATCAAAGATGCAATTGTTATGGGGGAATTTTCGGCTATGGGTCCCTCGGCATTCCCGGTGTTTAACACTCCACAGGGGGGGAAAAAGTGGGAGGCACTGGATTTAAAGGCTGTAAAGGAGGCACGTCAACCGGTAACATCCTACGGGTTAAAATCATTGTATACTCGAGCAATTATCACACATATTTTTTCTGCATATATCCTAGTACCATATGATATCCATATAATAGCTCAATTGTTTCTTACTCCCCACCTTCAGATGTGATTTAAAGTGAGCACAGCAGAGGAAAAAGCTGGATACATGGCTACTGCCTTTTCTGCTGCTGTTAAACCCCTTTTACAATAAGGTTAGAGCGATCACGGGGGTACTAAAGATATGAGATGTTATAATTGTGGACGGACGGGACATTGTAAAAAAGAAACAGTGTACTGTAAAGAAAACTAGTTCAGCAGCCCGCCGCCCCCCCTTGTCAATGATTGAATGAATTGAAATTTGATCTTAGGACATCCATTTTATGGATGTTTTCAGTCCTTCTTAAGGTGAAGGGAGCAACCTTTTTTACGTTAAAGTTCTGCATCAAGACCTGCAGTGGAAAGGTCTGTGATGAACTGTGGACTTATATACAACTCATTTAATACAATCTCTCTGTGATACTCATGTACTAGAAGCTGGTAAAAATAAGTATGTCCAGGTTTCTATCGACCTTTGGAGACCTTTATAAATACTGCTGGCTACTTCTTCCAACATAGGCTGGCCACCTGTGTCGGAATGAGTGTGCATTTTGGTCAGTATAAAAGCCCAAGCCTCATGCGATGTGGGGGAGGCAGAGCCTCTGCGGGGACGCATGCTAAGGTTGGGCCTGCCACCTCACACTGAGATGATGCTTCTCGGACCTGGTTTTCTTGTTAGTCTCCACAGGGTCCTTGTCCCACGTTCTGTACGTGGGATTGTGTAGTGGAAATAATGATTGTCTGGATTTTGTGCTTCAAATATTGTAGTTGTGCGGAGTGTGCTTGTGGGATCCCATACATATGTGTGTGTGTGTGTGTGTGTGTGTGTGTTAAGGGCAGACGGTGTTCTGTGTATTTTTGTTGTTGGGTTCATGTAAAAGTTTCTAATAGATAGTAGTTTAACATTTCAGACAAGAAAGGGTTAATGCCAAAGTGAGGTTGCCGGCAGGTATTTATGGTTGCTGCTGAAGCAGGCAGGCAGCCGTAGCTGCTGCCGGGCAGGCAGGCCCTTCGTTCGTTTGTAGCCGTGCAAAGCAGGGTGAGCAACATCAAATAAAAAAAAAAAAAAAAACCACCAAGCTTAATATGTTTAAAGTAACCTGGGGATGAATCCAAGACTTGGAGGAACAGATAGATCGGTTGAAACAAGAACTGCTAACTGAAAAAGCGAGAGGGGTAGTGCAACCACAAGCCTTATGAGCCGTCACCTAAGCAGCATCAGGGTGGCAGATACAGAACCTATCTACTTCTCAAGAACTGATAACCTGGAAAAGTGGGTATATTTGTGTCCTCCTGCCTACAGGTCCATGGCAAATGCCTGCAAAGTTTGTCAAGCCTTGCCATGAGCTGGACAGACAAATGGAGGAACCTGATGCTTCAGCTACAGGAGCTGAACGTGAATACCCCGAGCGGAATGAGATAGAGGAAGAGAAAAACCAATGATTGCTAAACATTATTTGGAAGCAACTGAAAAGTAACAGCTTGAATATGTGTGTTTGTAAAGTAGCTGTTGTTAGAGGCTTTGATTTTGTGTATGAAACCACCTGTATTTACTAGCCAGTTACTGATAACAAACTACACCTTGCATTATATGGATTTATCACTTGTAAAAGAGATGTTAGAGTGTGCAAATTTGTAGTAGCTGCTAGAAAATGCTAAGGCAAAAGATAGAAATATTCTAATACAATGGTAGTGTTATAAAGCAGGTAATGGAACAAATTAAGAGGGTGAGAGAATTCCACTGGTAAGAAGTCTCTTTGGCTAGTCCCTTGCTGGCATCAGCATCTTCAACATGCTGCTGCACCCTGTAATAGTTACTCTGCTCATGTAAATCTGTGTGTGTGCCTTGCCATAATAATGACTTGTTACTGGATGAAGCAGGTGAAACTCTGCAGTGACAACAAGGTGCAAGGATTGAGGCTGACCAAATGCCTGCTACCACAATCAAGGGCAAGACTGGATTGGCCTCTGTGTTTGCCTCCAAGAGGAGCCTTTAGCTCCACTGCTGGCTGCAACCCAGCAGGCATGGAGCGGTGAGGACACATGCCATGGGATGGCTTATATCTGATTCTGTTGTATGGCCTCGAAAAGTAGAATTGCACCTAGAGCTGAGGACGTTGACCGATGTTCAAACCCTAATGGGGCATTTGCAATGGGTCCAGCCTCTTATTGGAATTACTAATGAACAGCTAATGCCTTTACGTCCTTTGCTAAAGGGTGCACAAGCTGACAAACCAGTCGTCGTTTCTGAAGAACAACGGTCGTCTCTCATGCACAGTCAGTGTTTGCTGTGATCTTGCAATGGCAAAAGAAAAACGGGGGAGACATCTTGGCTATTTTGGAATGGTTATTTTTGCCATTGCAAGCTCGCAAGAGCATTCAAACACACATGGAAGTGGTTGGACAAATCATTAGAAAAGGGAGAACATGCATACTTGCCATTTCAGGAGAAGAGCCAGCTAGCATTCACATTCCTATAGCTGTGGAGGGTAATGGGGCATTCCGTTAGCCTGCAGATGGCCTTGCTGCAATATGAAGGGAAAGTCTCGGTGGATTTACCTAACGGAAAAGAAGCCTCATTGCTATTGTCCAATGCATGGATAACACGACCAAAGTTATCCATGAGACCCATTCAGGGAGGGCTAACTGTATACAGATGCAGGGAAAAAATTGGCTAGTGCAGTGGTCACGTGGTGCCACGGCAATCAATGGAAACATCACAAACTTTTGCAAGGTCAGGAGATTCGTTACAAACTTTAGAGTTAACTGTGGTTGTCTGGGCAATATTGTATTGGTTACATGTCCCGCTTAATGTGGTCACTGATTCGTTATATGTGGTGGGCGTAGTACAACGAATCAAAGATGCATTTATTAGAGAAATGTGGAATGAGCGTCTTATGACTCTTTTTCAGCAACCTTAACAAGCTATCCACCAGCGTTCAGCAGAATATTACATCATTCGTATTTGGAGCCACAAAAGTCAAGATGGGTTAGCTGAAGGTAACGCAAAAGCTGATAAACTCATAAGCCATGTTCGTCCTATCGTCAGCCAATTTGATGCTGCACGGATGGCACATGCTCCGTTCCATCAAAATGCATGAGGCCTACGGCGACAGTATCGACTAACATGGACTGAAGCCACCGGAATTGTTTGAAGTTGTCCTCAGTGCAGCAATCATGGACCAGGACTTGGACTTGGGGTCAACCCTTGGGGTTTGAGGGCTTTGAAGCTGTGGCAAATGGATGTCACTCATGTTTCTGAGTTTGGGCATTTGCGTTAGGTACATGTTACGGTAGATACGTATTCTAAGTTTGTATGGCCTACAGCACAACCTGGAGATTAAGTGGTTGGCTACGTAGTTTGATCAAGGCATGCATATGGGGATTGATTGCTTTTGTTTTTGTTTTACTATTGATACCTTGCTTATTACAATGTTTGCAAAGCTTACTTAGTAGATCACGTAGCAAAATTTTCCTTGTGTGACAGCAAGCATTCTGGTTTGTGCAAAAGAAAAATGGGGGAATTGTGGAGCAATGGTTATTCTCACGAGGGCCTGCACAACCCAGGATTAGAGCTGAGTGAGACAGCCTTGAACTCTCTCTGACTCAGCTGAGCCGGGGAGGCCTGGAGTCGAAGAAAAGTAAGCAGAACGCTGAAACAGGAGCTTGCTGGCCATAAGGAATGCACCGCTTATCACAAGGCACGCACTCTGCTGCTGCAGAGATATGTGTGTAAAACTTAGCTTAGCCAATAGCAATGTATAGACAGGCGTGTGAATTTATGTAGCCAATGAAAGATGTACAGCTATCACGTAAACTATCACCAATGGTATAAATTAGGTGAGCCTGTGCAATAAATCGAACAAGAAGCGTAACTCATATTGGGATTGTCTTCTTGATTCGTGTCTCTCCTCCGACATTTTCCTAAAAGCAGAAGTTAACAAAAAATCTTCTTTTGAGATTTAGAGTAAAAATACTTTGTTAAAATGCTAGTGGTTTTGTTCCTGTATCAGTTTCAACAGAGCTAATAGCAAGGTAAATAGCTTACCTGTTCACCAGGCTGCATCATGGTTGTATTTCTTGATTATCTAAAGTTATTAAACAAATCTGACCAATCTAAAACTGTATTTGCATCCAGATATAGTTGGCAATGACTTTCTGGACCTGCAACCAGTACAGGAGGGTATTAGGAGCTTAAGACTACTTTAACATTATCTGTGACTTCGCTTGCCTGAGACTTGCTCGCTCTGATTTTATTGCTAACAAAGAGTATAAATATAATGCAGATTTTCTAATTGAAGCATAGTTTGCTTTTGTATTCCTTTTTCTGAAAATAGCTCTATGCGAGCTTTGTCAGACCAGTATAGGCTTTCAAGTCTACTCAGGCCATAAAACAGTAATGCTATGTGAAACCAAACTATCAGAACAGTTCAGATAGTGCGTAGAACTGGTGTTCAATTCTAATTTTTGTTTTTTCCCCTATTTAAGAAAGTCTTGCTGCTGCACAGCTGGCAGAAAAGGACAACAATCTTCAAAAGTGGCGTGAAGAAAGAGATAAATTAGTAGAAGCTTTGGAAATACAGCTCAAGACTTTGGTTTCTAACACCACACAAAAAGATAAGGAAATAGCAGAACTGAAACAGGCTGCACTAAAGGATTTGGGAAAGGTTCTCTCTCTCTTGTTCTTGCGGGATTTTTTTTTCTTTTTTACTTTGTTATGCATTAATTCTACAAAACACAATACTTTTTTGTGTTTTGGCTCAGTTTTTGTCTTCTTATTGTCATATTGAAGCCATTAGCAGCTCCTTAAAAATAGAAGCTTTATGTTTGAAATTGAATTTGTAACAGTAACCAAAGTTTCAGAACATTTAGTAGTTTATTTAAAGTCTCTTTGATCCTTTGATTGCAAAGTTGAACTGGAGATCTGAAACAGTTATCATAGCTGCTGCTTTTTTCACAGCCCCAGGGACTTAATGAGCAAATGGGAGGTGAACTATTTATAACTTCACATAAGTAGAGTAAAACAAAAATTTACGTTACATCTTCCCTGGGTGTTACATGACTTCCCTTCACTTTAAATAGTGACCACTCATACATAAAATTGTTGGCTTTTTGTTGGATAACTGACTGGTTTGGCTTGTAGTTCTAAAACTGATGCTTCCAAGTAACTATGCTTGTGCGTATATTTTCTTTTGCCAGCCCTGCAATTTGTGGCATGTTTTGCTATGATTTTTAGGATAAGGAACCTGATATAGAAGAACTAAGGAAACAGCTGGCTGAGAAAGATGAATTTATAAAGGAACTGAAACAGCAGGTTAACCATAAAAGTCTTCTGTCTATGGCAGAAGTACCTTTACCTGAAGAAGGACAAGATGAAATAGATCAGACTGTAAACAAAGAGGTATGGTTTGTTATGGAAAGTATGTACTAATTATAAGTTTTTAATAACTTTTGTTGTTTTCTCAATACGTGTTTCAGCAACACTGGGAATCTGACAGAATTTATTGCTCATAGTCCTTCATACTTTATCTTCATTTCTGAGTTCTTGTTCATTCTTTCCATCTCCCACTTTTGCTATCAGAAACAGGGTACTTACATTAATAGAATACCCTCCCTCGATAAGTTTATAGAACTTGCATACCTGAGGGGAAAACTAGTTAACTAACCCAGGTTCTCGAGATTTGAAGACATTGTAGTGCCATTCCAGTTTGACTGTGTTCAGGGAATTTCAGCTCAAAACTTTTGTGATATTGCCTATACTGTGGTAATAGAGATGTTTCTGTAATAGGAGCTTCCAACCTATATGGGGGTTCAGAAGAGCAAAACAGTATCTTGCATCCCACAGAAAACCAAAACAATATTTGAAGTTTACGCAAAGAAAATATCAACTTTGCTTATTTCCGGAAGGAAAAATTGAAAGGCTTGCAACTATACTGAGACTTCCAATTCTGACTGAAGTCTTGCGTATCATTAAATACTTGAACAGTATTTAATGATATAGTTCTCCTGCTAAACTGAATTAATGCTGTGTGGCTCTATTGCTAGTTAATAGTGAACAGGGCTGAAAGTGGATTTCCTAGCAATCCCTCCTCTGGCTGCTAGGACATGCATTTCTCCTCTTGCTACAGAACTGGAATGAATGACAAAATGCATCTCTTCATCTCTTTCCTGTCTACTGCCAAATAAGACTGTCTGGCTAGTTTCTTGCTAGTTCATCAGTTCGGCTAGTGCCATATAGATAAAGCTTGTGATGAATGAGGGAGGACAGAGTAGCTCTCAGAAGGGTTAGTGCTTTACACGGCTTTGTAATAACAGGTAAGAGAGCACCATCATATTTTTTTTTTTTGCTATTAAAGTAGTTATTGAAGAATTGTTGTGAACATTTGTTGCTCACGTATTTACCTCAAGGAAGTAGAGACAATATTTGTTCCTATGGGTAAGTGGAGGTGTCTAGGAGGATTATGATGTGAGAAACTTCTGTGGATGTTGAAGTGAATGGGGTAAAGTTTTGGGGGGGAGAAGTCAAATAATTCCTGGGAAACACATTGTGACAATAAAGAAGAAAAACTAAAGCATTCAAGGGGATACGTCTCCTGCCATTTAAGAAGAGGTTAAGAAGATGGCACTCGTATGATTAAGAGAGGTTAAGGCTACTGGAGAGTTATGGAGCTGAGGTTTACAAAATCATGGTTGTGGTGGGTAAACAAAAGCTGAAACTGTCTTTCCTAAAGTTCTGCAAGAACTGTGAAGCTGTTGATGAAACTAATAGGAGATAATTTAAACAATTAAATAACTTATTCCTATCTGAAGCCACTAATGATCCTCTGAAAACAGGTACTATCATCAGGGAACAGAAAAACTTGTATTTGTAATCTGTAACTATATTCACAAATGGGTACTCTGAGGATTAGGCAAAGGTATATCCTTTGACCCCTCTAATGCAACAATTGAGAGTGCTGGGTGAGTATGGAGACAACAGACGACAAGGTGGCCGGGATCACACATTTTATCCCTCAAATAACAGCATCTCCCTTTGCCACTGTCAGAGGCAGAATTCTGTCAGAGGCAGAATATTGAACTAGATGGACTGCTGGTAAAACCCAGCAGGACATTTCTTATAATCTGTTAGCATAAATAGATTTTAGTAATTCAAAAAGTCCTGTTTCCTGTTGCCCAAACAATTCTAAAAGGTTTTGGGGTTTGTTTTTTCATGGGTTTTTTGGGGTGGGTTTTTTTTTTTTCTGTAAATCTTTCTTGATGATCAGATCACCTAGTTTTGTTGCTCTTGGTAGCAATAAAAGCTGCATGATATAATCATGTGAATATATCTGACCTGAATCATGTGTTCTTGAAAACTTAGCTATCGTTGAGGCTCATAAGGTGGCTGATTATTAAGCAGAGTGAGGAAGTCCTCATCAGTTGAATTTGTCTTGAATCAGTCGAAACTTGTTACTCACACAATTAATTTCTCTAAGTGTAGAAGGGGGAGGGAAAGCTCCCTGAAAACAAGCTGGAGAAAGACTATACTTTTCTCTCAAGCTCCTACTACTGCCCAGTTCCTAAAGAGCAGCAGAGTTAACATGAGTAAAATCATGTCAATGCTACTACTGCTAGCTGTGAAAACTGTGACTAGCTATCTCTGCCCTTGAGAAAAATGACTTGTAAAGTATCAGGCTGAGTTCAGCAAGGAAGACTAAGTTCTGTGGTCATGCATGGAAGTGTTAACCTTTTAAAATTTAGCAAAAGTTTTAGAAAATAAGAGTTGAATTCTGCTGTAGTTGAAGTAGATTTCTTTGCTTTTATTAAAAGTATTCCAAAAGCTGACTGCTAGAAAAAGGAATGCTTGCTAAGCAATCCACTGGAGAAGGATATGTATTATAGCATTTAAGTCATAGTTATTTTAAAGCTTGCTTTCTTAAAATGTTCCTATGCTTGCAGGACCATTCTGAAATTGTGCTTGACTTGTCTGAAGTGTCTACAGAAAATGGAAAAACTAGTCGGTTCCCAAAACCAGAGATGAAAATCCAGCTCACACCTCCTTTGCAACCCAGTAAGATGGAGGTGAAGCAGCAGGGTAGCACCATACCAGTTACAGTTAAAATGCTCAAGCCAAGAAATAAAAGTGAAGAGATGGATGAGGTATGACCTAGACCAACTGACATTACGTTGTGCAGCTTTTCTCTAAGTACTCTGATAATTTGTTAAAATCCTATCCTCCTGATTCTCACTGAGACCCAAAAGATATATGTAGGGTATATTTAAGCTTCTTCAAACATCATCCTGTCCTTCCCCCTGCCTGCCAAGTGAACAAATCTCTGGCCTGTGATGAATAAGGTGATAGACTTTAGTTTGTCCACACTCTGGCCCCTTGTCTCTGATTTGCACTTTCTCTTCACCTTTTACATTTCTCTCTCCCTACAAGCACCATTTGCTTCTGCCTCCAGCTGTGATATATGCGGGATTGCAGACCAGTTCTATAGAAATTTTTCTTTTGGTTTAGACAATTATTGATGTCAATTATAAACCCCTCTAACGGTCAATTACAAGTTAATCCTGTGCATTAAATCAGTGCATTTCAAAGTTTCAAGACCACTTCCTTCCACTTTTCCTCCAGCTTGTGTTCTCTTTGATCTTTTTGTACTTGAAGGGACTATGTACCAGCACCTGAACCTCCTGTTTTCTGAAGGCCTTAATACCTCTTTAATTTCTTCAGTTGTACTAGATTATATACTCCAGCCCTCTTAATGTGCTGTGGTGTTTACATGTGGGACAAAGGCTCCACAGCAGTCCAAGGTGGTAAAAGTCTTCACTTCTCCTACCTGAACTGCATGTTCCATCCCTCTGCCTTCTATCAGTGCCAACACAGCTTTCTCTGAGACACTTAAGAAAGCCTTGAAACCATAAGAGCACATTGTGGTGGTACTTTAATCGTACTTGTGGGGCTTATGAATCTCTATGCTTTTAAGGACTTTTGAAGCTGACAGGTAAGTATGGGATTGTGGATGATTTGTCTAGGTAGTAAGTGGTGTTTTAGTGAGTGAACTTGTCTCAGCTGAAGAGTGAAGTGTCTGATGCTTTTCTAGCATTTCTTGCTCAGTCATTCCCAAGTGATGTTTTTTAATCTCTAAATAAAATAGTTAAGATAAATAATCACTTCCGTGATTTCTGTGCAACAGGGCTTCGATAAACTCATTTTGTTAAACCTGTTAAAAGCTGTGTAAGTTAGTTCATCTGGAATACAACACTTCATTCTGGAAGCATGTCCAGAGCTGATTTAAGTTTCTTGTGGCTTGAACCAGTTTTCTTCTGAGAGTAGTATTTTTTCAGCTTGCTGGCAAGGTAGGTGTAAAAATAACCACCATTCTGATGGCACTGAAAAAGTACCAATTTTCCTACAGGTATTTAATCTAATGTAGTTATAGAATCATAGAATAATTAGAGTTTTTAGAGAAGATTGTTTTACCTATTCATTTAAATCCTTTCAGTGTAGTTTGTGTTCATACCCTTATGGGAGAACATTTAGCTAAGTAACCTTTCAATAACATGAAACTAAATTTAAAAGTATCTTATTGCTGTTCTGTTCACCCAAGTATGACTCTTAAATATAATTTGTTATGCTAAATGGATTATAAAAGGATTCAGCAACTTTAACTGTCACGAGTCTACTGAAGACACAATTTGTTTTTAAATTGTCTGAAACAGAAAAGCATGTTGTCAGCAGTAAAAGTAAGGGCTGGGGGGAAACCTGTGGTGCTCAAACACATACTGCTCATCTCCCTTTTTTTTTTTTTTAAGAAGTGGTGTAGTTTCGGGTTGGAATTTTTGGGGGGTTTGGGTGTGCTTTTTAAAAAACCCACATCTTTTGCTGAGACTCTTGTATAATTAGGCAAAGAACAAAATTCTCTTCTGACACTTATCAGTTGGTATGGCTATTGGTTACCTGAAATCTCTTGGCAATAATGAATGAGATGAAAGTCATCTTTTAATGACAGCTTAACACTATCATGTTAAGCTGTCAATGTCACTGACATGTTTTTATAATTGTCACTGTAATTCTGAATTTTCATTTCAATTTATTGAGTTAACTAAAATTTGTGTATTTGCTTCTCAAATGTCTTAAAGCCAGAAGTATAGGAAACAATGGAAGGAGGAAAATAATAAACGTCTGAATGGTTTGACCACAGGTATTTCTAGTTCCCTTCCACAAGTCTGTTTAGCATTTAATTCACATTTGAATAATGACTTCTATCCAGTATTAGCCCATGGCTCCATACTGTTAGTCACAGCACTTAAACAGTGACTGCTTCTGTAATATAAATAATTGTTGTTTTTTTCTAGAAGAATCTTAGGTAAAATTTGTCATATTTATTTTCTTAGGATTTTGTGAAAAGCGAGAACAAAAAAAAATGCAAAACCTGCTATGACTAACTTGCCTTCTACAAGCAACAAGCAAATGGTTTGATTTTATTCTATTTCTGAAGTTAGTTTGGCCTTTTCTGTGAAGGTGGACTTGTGAAAGGAGCAGACATATGCAGCAGTATCTTCTCTTTATCTATGTACTTGAATAGGATTCTAAACACGTTGTCTTCCTAAACTCAATAAACTAACCAAAAAGAGTAATTCTGTATTTACCAAAAATGTGTACTAGCTGCACTGTACAATCATTCATAGGGAATGACCTTCCATATTGAATATTGAACATACTATCAATATACATAATGTTATAGGCAATGCCTTTGAAGTAAAAGCAAGGTTTATTTCACCTATACGTATGAAAATTGTGAGGATTGTTTTAGGCATTAGTAGTAAACTGGGTGGGTTCAGAGGATGGGTAATGGATACATTTTCCCCACCAGTTTTCTCTTGTTTTAGTTATGACTAGAATAGGTGGTCTAATGAAATTGCCTACAACTTTGAAAATTTTTTTTTTCTTTAAGAAACTGTTTTCTATATTTCTCATGCCCTTAAATGTGTTCTGTGAAACTTTGACAATGTTTTTTAATTCTGGGTATAAAACAAGGCTGTTTGTATTTTTTTTTTTTTGTTGTTGTTGTTGTGGTAGGGTGAACAGAGGTGTCAGTAGGAAAACTCAAAATGTCAGCTTGAAAATAACATTATGGTAAAATAAAATGAAATTAAACTTTAAGGTAAGTCAACTTGCAACTTAAGCAGTGCTCTTGTATTTTTTTACAGATGTCTACTAAACAGCTTAGAAAACCATACCCCTTAAGAAAGCAAGAATTCACTTCAAGTAAAAACTCTGCTAAAAAGAAAGATGGAAAGCTTCAAAAAATTGGAGATTTCTTCCAAAGTTCTCCTACTATTATTCAGTCTAAAGGTTTGTACAGAACAAATAAGTCTCGTTGCATATTCTCTGGGCATTGCAGAATAGCTTTTTTCTACTGTAACCTATTAATACATATACTGTTCAATGATAAGTCTGCTTCATTAAGTTGCTGTTTTGTTCATGAAATAAAGGAGTCTGAACTGGGGCCTGCTTTATTAAATCTTGCAGAGCAGAAAAGGCTGTCTTGATTGCAAAGACCACATGGTTATCAAGTTTAGGTTGTGAAAGGTAAACTGGATGGAATGAAAGGATGCAGTGTGGAATATATGCATATAAATTCATCATAAAAGACATAACTGTTAAGCTCAACATGTTGGAGTTACTTTGGTTTTGCTTACAGTAAAACAGTTCAAGGGCACTTTCAGGGACTTGTCCTGCTGCTCTAAAGAGAAAAATAAAGAGCTGAATCCAGATTCTAAATCTTCCCTTGCTCTATAAGCGATCCCTCCTTACCCACACCCCACCTCCCCACCACTTTGTTTCTGTGTAAACTGTATTAATGCTTTTCTTTATGTACATATATGGGAGAAAAAATGTAGTTCTACAGAACCTAAAAGCTGGTGTCTTATGAAAATATTTGGAAGACTTCAATAAGCTGACTATGAAGCGATTAATGGATTTCACTAAGTTTAAGCATAGCCTTGGGAAGATTAACTGCTGGGACTTTCTACTAAAGAACATTTTATTCTTTCCTGTATTAAAACAGAATTTCTGAGTTACTGTGTTTAAAACAAAAATAAAATTAGCAGTGGGCACAAGGAACTGCCTGTGTTGAATTCTAAAAGACACAATTGTTTGGTTAAAGCCAGATCAGTCATTATTTGGTGTGGCTGATTAAAATTAAGATCTCTATACCAACTGAAAAACTTGACTTGATACAGAGTACATCTTACCTGCTGTAAGACAGTCTAGATGGCAATAGTGGGATTTTTAAAACATTGCAGGCTTGTCAGATTTGGCTCCATGAGAACAACATTGTCATCAATGTAAGCCAAATTCAGGTTACTCAAAATTTCACTCTGAAAATACTGAATTTGGGCAAATGAGGTCTAGTTTGTAACCTTTATTATGTCCTGTATTTTTCTCTTTTGCGTAACTTGCTATTGTTCAGGATGTCTTCTTTTCTAGCTCATAATATGCATACAGTCATCTCTTTATAGAGCTAGTCCTGCCTTGGTAAAACTACAGAAATATATAGAGAAAATTGACTCTACCCTGTGCTCCTGTCAGCACAAAGAAGTGTTAAGCGTGTTGTTTAACTTCTTTGGAATTGTTTATTTTCCAGTGAAATCTGACTCCTAATTGATTTTAAAGGACAACTTTAAATAGCACATTAAAGCTTTTGCACCTGAAGCTATGAAAAACTTCTTCCAGCCACAGAAAACTGTGGTAGTCAAATACCACATCTGAATTTTTATATTTAAACTTCAGACAATATCTCTTTAACTTTTAAGTTCTTTTTAGTAAAGCTTGCTTTATTCATTAGTTTTGAGGTTTACAAACACAGTAAGACATTGATTTATGATTAAATATTTTCATCTAGCAAAGAAGCTGATTGCAATAAGCTCTCCTAACTCTGCAGAACCAGAAAGCATAAAAGAAAATGAGCTGAAGCCAAAAAGAGCTAAGAGAAAGCTGTATTCAACTGACATTTCTTGCCCTCTAGATATCCCTGCTTCTTCGGTGATTACAGGTTACTCTTCTGTCCACTGTGATCTACTTCTGTAATTGTGATTTAAAGTAGGCTATTAAGGGGACAGAACAAATCTGAAGGTCTAATCAAGTTGCATAAGAAGTTTGAAAATACTTATTT